ATTTATATATTTATGAATACACACACACACACCCATATATATATATATAGAGATATATATATATATAGATATATACTATTTGTATACGCATTTCTAAATAGAAGTTGTATCATAGACAAGTTGAAAGAATTGAATTCACTCATTCACGAGCATGAGGTGGGTGTCTGTATAACTGTGCTTAAAGGGATAATTTTATATGCAACATGAATACAATTTCATTGTAGGTACTGTGTATAGTCTTTATCCGATGACAGATTTTGTTGAAGTTAACTTGAAGTTAAGTTTTGCTCGAGGGTTGTTCAATCTTAAATCTTGTATCCTAGCAACCATAAGCGTAGCAAGAATGTATGCATCCATTTTCATTATATATATATATATATATATATATACTATCTATATGTATCTGTAAATGTATATAGTAAAAATTTATGTATATGTAAAAATTTATGTATATGTAAAAGTGTACCTATATGTATATTTATCTATTGAATATTGATGCATATGAAATTATTCTTCACTGTATATTGCCGACCTTTGATACCAAATCTGTATCTGGCATCATACTCAGCGTGCACCTGTACAGTTACTTTACACTTGGAAGCTATTTGGTCTGTAAAATTTGTTTAACAAACACAAGTATTAATATATATATATAGATATATATACTTATATATATCTATTCATATATATTCATATATACATACATATATATATATATATGTATATATATATATATACATACATATTATTCATATGCTCATTCACACGTACTTGATATTTTACATCACAGACCCCCGACACCGACGATCTCAGCAAGGCTGAGGCAGTGGCGGCTGTAAACGCCGCCGGCGTTGGTCAATCAGAAATCGCTGCAGATGCGGATGAGGCTGTGAGTGACGCCAAGACGGGAGGAAATGCCACAGATACGACGGAGACAAATGCCACAGATACTGAAAGTGCTGTCCCCGAGTCTACTTTGGCTGGCGCTGCTTTGGGTATTGCTGCTGCCGATGCGGCGGTGGATACGGAGGATTCTAAGGTGAGATCGGATTACGATGTATGCGTACTCATGCACTTGTATCATTATATATATGTATATATGTATATATATATATATATATAAGTATATACATATGTATGCATGTTTGTATGTGTGTATGTGAGTAAGTTATTTTTATATATAAATATTGTGTTGATAGGATCATGTTATTGCAACTCTATCGCAACTTCCGCTGATCAACGAGGCTTTGCAACTGCCTCATTTACTCGCTGCGATAGCGTGAGTGTACCGCACATTGGGTTTTAAGGTTTTTAGATCATACCCTCTGAATCATCACCCTGTGTATTTGTATAGGTGGATGCTACACAGGAAGTGGAAGAAGAAGCTGCAAAAGAGGATCACATTGAAGAAGTCGCCACTGTGGCTGCCGCTGCCACTGCTGGTGCGGCCGCAGGCGTAGCAATCGCATCTGGTGCACAGGTATATAGTT